TTCGTGTGAGATGTACTTTTTCTCATTACATTAAAAAAGATATGTAGCCCTAGCCGGCTTGGCTCAGTGGATAGAGCGTCAGCCTGCAGATTGAAGGGTCCCAGGTTCAATTCTGGCCAAGGGCACAAGCCTGGGTTGTGGGCTTGATCCCCAGTGAGGGCGTGCAGGAGGCAGCCAATCAATGATTCTCTCTCATAATTGATGTTTCTCTCTCTCTCTCCTTCTGCCTTCCTCTCTGAAATCAATAAAGAAATATATATATTTTTAAAAAGATATGTAAATCTAACCAATGTCTCACATATACCAATTGACATTATCTAATAATCTGCATATGTCCTGGGTGGAAATTATTCTGGCAAAATATACAATGAAATAAAATGTTCTCTATTTTCACATATGATAATATGGATAATTTTTAAAAAAATAAACCTAATTAAGCACAGAAAATGTTACTCATCGTGATAAGGACTGTTTACACAGTTCTTTTAAAACCCAAAAACATACTTAAAAATCTCAGATTTACAAAAGTCCATCTGAGTGACAATTTACATAAAAGATAAAACAAGGAAGACTATGTCTTAGAGATCCAGTCATAGATATAACATAAAACATAGTAAACCACTGTGGCTATTCATTTAAGAGTCTGATATTACCTTAAATACATATATTTTCTACCTTAAATTGAGATGTATAATAAAAATGTGTAGTTTGAATCTATACTGACAACTTCAGAGCTAGAAACTAATTTTAGTATAAATATCAATTCAAAATCTTCAACACTACAGATGACACACTTACTTATACAGAGCATTTAAGAAGTATATGGTCCACTTACATTACTATTGACCTTTGTACTTAATACAAAAACATTTAACTATATTTTTTTAAAAATAAGGAAAATTGAATAGAAAAACGCCATATATTCAAACTAATTACACTTCTTTTTTTACCTAAGCCTACTATTTTGAGTCTTAATTTTGAGAGAGAAGTGCCTTATATGAAATTTAGGTGACTGTATTTTATGAAAAAGAACTGAGATTTTATTTACATGCATAAGCAGAATACCATCTCTTCTAAAATTCAATGCTTTAACTCAGAGACAAATTAAACAGTAATGTTAACTTAAGATTTTTAAATGAACATAGTCAACAAAATATAGTATCTGTTGCAGAGGAAAGAGGTGCTGGTATATAGTAATTGGAGCAATAAAACAATATACTTGAAAAAAAATTTTTTTTAATGGGAATTATGATCTTCAGCTAAATTACTTTAAGGGATGAAGTATCCTCCACCTAGAATATATAGGCTTGTCTTATTGACAAGGAAAATTAAATATCATAAAACAAAGAAAGTAGAGACTGCTAATTCTACCAGGTGAATAAAAATATAATTGAATAATGCCCGGCCAGCTTGGCACAGAGGCTGAGCGTGGACCTATGAACCAGAACATCACGGTTCAATTCCCAGTCAGGGCATAGGCCAAGGTTGCAGGCTCAATCCCCAGTGTGGGGCATGCAAGAAGCAGTGGATCAATGACTCTCTCTAATCATTGATGCTTTTATCTCTCTCTCTCTCCCTTCCTCTCTGAAATAAAAATATATTTTAAATATATATATATATATAATTGAATAAGAAGTTTCAACCAAAAGGAAGCCCTAGATATTTATAATCTAAACATGCTTTTATAGAGAAAGACAGGTGGTCAAAAAATACTCCCAAAATAACATAGCACTCTGATTGGGCCTTTAAATATTTACTCTTTTAAGATTCAAATGTCAACAATTAATACTGTTATAAGTAATCAAAGAAACAAATAAAAAATTAAGTATTTTCCCCACATTTAGAAGACAGTGCTTTTGACAAAAAAAGGGCTAGTAAAGTATATAATACATAAAATGCATATTTTAAAGATCAGATATTATAAAAATCATGGAATTCTTTACTATTTCCCCAAAGTGACATTCCATAAATTGTATGACCACATTCAATTGGGAAACTGTATGCATACTTCATTTTACACAACTGGAAAAACAATATGTAAAATGAGCACATTAAAATTATTTTTTAAATTTAGCAATAAAAGATAGTGTAAAGAAAATACTGTTCTTGTTATGTATAAAAGTGCTGTTTATTTTACTTAATCATTATTTCTTTACCATGAGATAAGCTTGAAACTTACTTTGAAATAGTAAGGCCACCGTCTAAGAATATCTGTCTATGAAATAATCACAGGAAAACATTTACATCTAGGAGTTAGGTATGTGGGTGTTTACTAGCTTATTCTTGAAATTGTGACTTTTTACATCATCATTACCCTCTCAAATTTCAGGAATGTATTTTAACATATTATTAGCTATTGTAACAAAACTCTTCACACACAAAAAACATAAATACCACAAGTACTCCCCAAGAAATTTCCCGTTATTTAAAAAAAAAACAAAAAAGTTTAGTACCTTTTATTTTGGACTAGTCCCATTTGTCACTAAATTTCAAACCTTTTAAAGGTTTAAGCGTACATTTGATCACATTATTTCATAAAATATTTCCTTTCAATCACACATTTATGTTCTTTTTCTCATTCAGAATCTAAGTTGTAATTATCAACCTAACCCTCATTTTCAATTAGTTAACTACTGATTATTCACAGTAACATTTAGCAATTATAGACTTTAAACATAAACACCAAGTTACTGAAATATTCAAGTATGCTTCTGATTAAAACATGAAGGTGTTTCAATTAGTATTTGAGAAACAAGATTTAAGCTACTGTCCTTATTGATAATTTCTATTAAATCACAATTCCAACTAAACAATAATTTCTTCCCTAATATTACTGATATTGTAGAGTTTAAAAAAACAAATATTTAATCTGTTCCACTGAACACTCAGCACTTATTTAAATAGAAAAATCCAAAAACTCAAGGAAGAATAACCAATTAAGCTTTATGAAATATAAGTAAACAGAGTCCTTCAAATAAAAACTGTATCTCTCAAGAAAATTAATGCATTTATTTTCATAATAAACAAAAACAGGGAAATCCTGAGAAAATACATTGCTGAAATAAAGCAATTAGAAAAATGAGTGTTCCTTTATTTTGTGCATATTAATTACACATTAACAGTATATGAAATCTAAATCCTGCAGACTTTAAACCCAGTGTTTCAAATCATGGCACAAAACATAATACTGTGATATTATAATACTAAAATTGTTTCATATTACCATTTTACGGAAATAATTATGGTAGCATATATGAACAAACTTACATTTATTTTTATATCTACCACTTTTAAGCAAATACCATTGAAATATATTCACTGGTATACTAATTCACAAGAAAAATATTGACTGATCCATCCATAGGTTAACTCTACGGGAACACTAAAAACTGAATAGCTAGGAGTTCACAGATGCTCCACTTGACTGTCTGTTTCCCAGGGTAAACTTGGTTAAATACTGGAACAAGGATTTTCTTGATGCAGGGAAAAAGCTGTGCAGAACTCTTTTCTTGGAGCCAGAGCTGAGCCGGACACTAGAATGTTCAGCAGATTTGCACGTCTTTGTGCACTGGCTTTCAAATGTTCTTGAATGAATCTTATAGAATTCCACAGCCTTGGCCAAAGATAGCTTGGTATTAACATCAAAGGATAAAGTTTTCCCCAATATCAATTCTGCTTTGAAACAAAATACAAAGCTAAAAATTACTTAAGAATTATAAAAAAAAAAAAAACAAACATGTTGGGAAAGGTATGAGGTGCAATATATATTACTTTAAAATTATAGCTAATGTTTAAACTCCTCACACTACAATTAATATACAAATTAAAACAAATCCCACTCCCTGCTAATATATATTCATGGAAAACAGCAATGAGAATAATCTTTATTATTTTACAATCTCCATGACTGCCAAAAACAAAAGCCTGTATTGGTGCAAATTTTAGAAAACAATTCCACCCACACTGTTGTATCTAAAAAATAGTACATAAGAACATTTTAACTGGCACAAAAGAAGTTATCTCAGTTACACTTCATACCCAACTGTGTTTATGCAAGATTTTAAATTAACCAAATTTATTTCTTTCCAAAGTATGCCCTCCAGCAAAAACAGAAACTATGCAAAAATAAAAGGTCTTTACATGCTGTTCATTTTATACTAGTGCATTATTCTTCCAAAAGAAATGCTAAAGCATGATATAGTAACACTGAAAAGTTATGAGGAAAAAATATGCTGTGATCAATGGCTAATGTGTCAGATTTGCAGTTTAATTTAAAGATATGTTCCTTACATGCAATTTTAAAACAAGCATGGCGAAAACACAAAATTTTAAACACAGCAAAGGCTTTCTTTTGGAATAAAAATTATAATGTCATAAAATGTTTTCCCCTAGTATTGAAAATCAAAATTCAAATTACATATCCAATAATAGAGAGATGTATTATGATTCCAATGACTCCAGCCATTCTCGTTAATTCTGTTTTTTAAAATTAAACTTGTATTCCTTGGAGACAAACACACCTAGCCCGTCAGACAAATTTTAATGGAGACTTACCAACTCTAGGAAAATATTTACAACACTGCAGAGTCAACCATCTTTAATACTTTTAGAAACTAACCTTCTCAAGAAATGTCTTATTTCTTATAAATCACACAGTAAATCCTCATTTAGTATACAATCTAACAGTATTGTTTAATTTTAAAGAAAATTTAAAGGGTAAGATCTAGATAATGACGTCAAATGGGAGGAAAGATAAAAAATGAAAAATACACAAACATTATATCATAAGCAAAAGAGATTTGCCTTCAAACAGGTTTTTTTCCAAGATTGAAAAGATTTATTTGAAAAAATCAGCACAGGACAAAGGTATCCTTAAGATTCCTCTTGGAATATCTAAATATTCAGATTCTATATGAAATCTGACAGCAACTCTAGTTTCACAGAACATGAATGGTTTACACAAATGTAAACTCCCAGGCCAGACCCCTTATTAACATTACCTTTCACTAGCTGCTATCTTCAGTGCTACTTGCACAAACTAAAAAGCAGGAAATCCATTTTCATTTTTAAATGGCTGGGATTAGTTAAAGCAACCAAAGTATTACTGTTACAGCCAAGTTTAGCAAAACTGTAAGAGAATACCAGTAATAACATTTGTAAATTATCCAAAATGATTTCTTTATTGAAGTAACTACATAGATTTCAACAGTACTATGGTATATTTATATTTAGCTAAAGTCACAAACACATTTTAACATTCACAATGATGAGCATCAGCATTACCATTCTAATCTACAAAGCTCATGAATAAAGAAAAATACAAAAACCTCGTTTTACAAAGAAATACTTCAACATCTGCATACATTAACAATAAAACCATTCTTCCAAGGTAACAGGTTAAGTGTAAAGGCATACCACTGAATTTTTTTTTTCTCTAAATAGGAATGAAAGAATGTTTAATATCTACGACGCTTATTAGGGCCTTCAAAGTTGCCTGCTTGGCTTCCTCTACCAAAACCACCAGGACCACCACTAACAGGACCTACACCACTCATGGGTGCTTGAGAGGTTTCAGAACCTGTTCTACTACCCATAGGTGATCCCATCTGTGATGGTGGTCCTTGGGGAAATCTATCATTGTGCTAGAATACAACACAATAAATATGAAGTCCATTTGGAACACGCCAAATATAAGTGACAAGAAAAATTGGCAAAATCCCAAGTAGTGGTGTCATGAAGTTCAGCAGAAAGTCCAGCAGAATCAGGATCACACATAGAAGGAAGAAAGGAGCAATTTAATTAGTTACTATGTTTAAAAAAACAAAACATCTGAAGAGTTACATACTGCTATATAATGCCCCAATTTCATGAAGAACAAACTGATTTTAATGGAGCAAATGCCATCCTAAAAATCTCTTATCAATATTACAGTACTATTCTGGTACATTTTTTAAAAAAAAGTTTATATTGCATGTAACTGTGGTGCATAAAAAATACTTTTAAAAAAAAAACCAGCAGAGATAAAACTGAGGAGTAGCATCATATTCAGAAAGTAAAAAGTTATGAAATCTTTTGAGATGTTTTTTGCAAAGACTATTATTGAGAAAATAAAGTTTTTTAAAATCAACAATTTATTGGACATCTGAATCATTATAGCTAGAAAAATTTCACAGTAATAACCACATATATTAATTTCAAAAGTTGAACAGACTCAAAACTCCAGTGTGAAAAAGACCAAAGACAATATTTAAATAAAGTATGCAATTTCAGAGGAAGGGGTGGAAAAATTGGCCACTTATAGTGCTTCAAAATTACTACTAATGATTATGTTGCTACACAAAAATTTAAACAAGGTGTTGCAAGTTTTTACTAGCTTTCAAACATTTTACTCTAAAATAAAGCCTTCCACTAAAGTTAACAAATACACTAATTACATTAAACGCCATCCATTCATAGAAGATATGACAGCACTGCCTCTTTATCTCCCTTTACACTCATTTTAAAAAACACTGTTAGCATGTCTAATTTCTCCAAATTCATAAAAGATAGCATTTAAAGTAAATAAATTTTAAAATGGTAAAATACTGCATCCACCAATTCTAAGACACACAACCACTTTTAACACCTCTGAGACCAGGAAGGAGTTACAGCTGATGGCATGTCTGAGTTTAATTTGCAGTGCTTTTTCTTTCTTAGCAGCAATGGCGACTTAAGATTTTTGTAGTGGTTTTAAAACTAAATTTCCTTTTCAAAATATACGGTCAACCAATTTTCCATTTCTAAATGGTACTTAGAACAACCATGAACAAAAAATGAGAAAATGTTTAATATAAAGCCTCATTTAAACAGTGATAGCCTTTGAGGGAAATGAAACAGATATTAAGTCTTGCTACTGATATTCAAATGTAAGAATTACTACTGAAAAACATTTTTATAATAATGCACACAAAGATATCTTCACACTCTCAAACCAAGACATAAAACTGTCTATTTTTAACTTAGTAACACATGTAATTAGTAATTCTACAATGTAAGTTTAAAATTTTAAACTTATGTTTACAAAAAACTGTTTTCACACGTATTGGAGTTTTGTCCCCCACCAAAGGTAAGGAGTCCACACAGGAAAAGAACACAATCATAAAGTACTTGAATGCTGGTAAGAGGTGGATACAAATTGAAAGCACTGTAAAAGCAAATGTAACATATGTGTTTGCTACATACCTAAGTACAAAGCATGCCATGGGTGGTAATCAAAACTCTCTCAAGATACTTAAAAATTGCCTCATAATCAACATATAACTTCACAAGATTGCTTTTTCTTCATTGCATATTAATATTTACTGCCAAAACAAATGCTAAATTATCTTAAGTGTGAAGTTACCTTTGGAGCATAAGTATATATTATTGAATATAATCAAAATAATGTTTCTGATACATTACCACTGCTCCATTATCTGGCATCATTGGAGTTCCCATATTTGCAGCTCCTTCTGGTCCCATGGCAGGACCAGGACCCATTGGTGGGCCAGGTATAGTTCCTCTGTTGTTCATATTCATACCCATCATTGGAGGAGGACCTTGGTTACCAGCAGGTGCTGGGCTAAACCCATCTACGCAAAACAATCTATACTTAGAGCTGTCCTATCTTAGTTCAATAAACATTAAAAATGTAACAACACTTAGGCAATGTATATAGATGACATCATCAAAATCATTTTCCTTCTCTGAGAATGGGACACTCAGCTAACTACTCTGTAACAGAGTGTTACCTACACTAATAGAATTTTTTCATTCTAAAAACAAAAGTATATAAAACATATGAGACAACTATCAATTACTTAAGGACATTTGAAACTGTAAAAGCTTAAGAATTTTAAAATGAAGTCAGTATGATTTCTATGGTTTGCTTTTTAACCAAATACTCCCTTTACATCGTAGCTAAAATCTACCAGTTCAAATGAAAAGTAGATTAGCACTTTGAAAACCATTTAATATTTTTAGTCATGACTAAAAATGTTATGTAAATTGCATTAAGTTGTAAGAGAATTCATTCCCTTCAATATATTATGTTCACTATAACTAACTAACTAGTTAATGAACATCTCCAAAAAGTATGAGGTACTGTTTTTTAACTTTATGTAGAAATATGTGATCTAAACAAACAAACTGAAATGATTCTCAACATGACAAAGCTTACTTTTAAAAGCCACTGCAACCAAATACAGATATAATATTATTACATTAGCTTTTTAAATTTTTTAACACGCTGAAATTCTGCAAATGGGAACAAACTCTTTCATAAGAAAGTCGAAAACTACAATAGTGTTTGAGCTATAATACCACATTTATAAGGGCCTCAAACACAGCATTTTTAGGTACCTTCCACAATTTTTTTTAAATTTTTAAAGTACTGATATATTTGTTTATCACTAAAAATTCATAATAAAGATTGTCTCAGCCTGGCTGTGATGGATTAAGTGTCGTCTCAAGGACCAAGAAATCCAGGGTTCGCTTCCCAGTCAGGGCACATGTCCTGGAGGGTTCAATGCCCAGTAGGGGGCATCCAGGAGGCAGCCAATCAATGAGTCTCTCTCTCATTGATGTTTATATATATTTATCTCTCTCTCCCTCTCTTGAAATCAATAAAAATATATTTTTTTAATTTTAAAAAATTGACTTTAACTTTGAGTTTTCTTCTACTATTTCATTATGTAGGTCAATTTTATAACATCCTGAATTCAGTTTCTCAAAAACACATTATAACATGAGTTGAAGTTTTCATTAAAACCAACAACTCTAAATGGCTAAGCACAAGGAACAGCTGCGAGAGAAAAGTCTTATTCCTTTATCTGTCCCTGACAACACACTATTGCTCTTTCTGAACCCAATCTTCAGGAATCTACCAACTTCAAAGGGAAGGAATTATTTCCTTAATCCATAAATGGTCTTCCTGATAAATCGATAACTAACTAAGAAATTTACATTCCTTAGCACAATTATAAACAAAAAATTTTACTAGACTTCCAATACATCACTCACAATGGAAATGAAAAAGAGTGAAGACATGAATCTGGGAGGAATCAATCTGACCTCAACTTTTGCAAAAACAACAGGTCATAGATTAGGGTGGGTTTTTTTTAATAGAACAGAATTGTTACATCTAATTTATGAGATTCAAATATAACTATGCTACTATAGGTATAGTAAAATAACTAAAAAATAATATTTCCAACTATCAATAGTTGAATTGTCTTATTTTTAGCAATCACATCTTCTACCACACATCTGTAATTAAACTGAATTTAACAAAATCTAAGCCCTGGCCAGTGTACTAGAAACTCTGTTGGAGTATCGTCCCGTGCACTTAAGGGTCTTGGGCTCGATTCCGGATCAGGGCACACATCCAGGTTGCAGGTTTGATCCCTGATCAGGGCACATGCTGGGAGCAGCCTATGGATGTTTCTTTCCAACATAAATGTCTCTCTCTCTCTCAAATCAGTTTTGTAAAAACTACATAGAGTACATATTCAAAAAATAAAAAATCTAAGACTCTGGCCAGTTAGCTCAGTTGGTTAGAGCATCAGCCCAATATGCCAAGGCTATGGGTTCAATCCCCAGTCGGGGCACATACAAGAATTAATGAATGAATGAATGCATAACTAAGTGGAACAACAAACCAGTTTCTTTCTCTTTCTCTTTCTCGCTTTCTCTTCCTCATCCTTCCTCTCTCTCTCTCTCTCTCTCTCAACTTTCAAAAAAATAAAATTAAAAAAAATTTAAAGATCTAAGAAATGTTAGAATTATCTGATCCCATGAAAACCAGTTTTATAACCTATTTTCCACTTAGTATGTACACTGGTAAACACACCAGAAAAATCTATTGACACATTCCATCAATGTAACTTGACAGGATGTGAATTGACACCAGCAACAAAACTATATAATGATACATAACCCAGTAAATCATTAGGATAAAGTGTCATGTTAAATAAAATGTAAAGAGGAGAAAATTACATGGATTAGACTTCAGGAAGTTGAGTAAATGCTCAAATGTAAATATGGTTCTCTGGTAAATAAAATGCCATAAAATTTGTGATTCTCTTAAATTCCTAACTAAATAAGGAATCTAAAGGCACGGTTTCATATTTCTTCTGATAAAGTTGCTAACCGAACAGTCAGAATGATTTTGTGTCCTTGGCAACATCAGATATACTTCAAGTTTGGTTATGATATTGACAATCTAATAATTAAAATGGCATTTCAAACTGCCTACAATCCATAAAATCACACTTATATTCTTAAAACCACCTGGACCAACCCACAATTTACTTTGAAATAGACATAAATACTGAACTACTTGTACTTATTATATATATATATAACTGTGTTTCATAATTTACAATTAATTTACTCTGATTATTTTGTGTATCGATTGTATTAACTCACAATGAAGTTCATTATGGGTAAGGGCAATGTTTCATGCTTACTTTGCATGCCAGAGATTCTCAGTTACTACTTTAGTAAGTAAAAAAAGTAACAAAGTGAACAGCAATAAATGATTTTAGATCATCTAATTGGCAGTGGCAGAGAAACTGCCATGAGAGGGAGAAAGGAAGCCGATAATGGAAAATACTTATATCACACATTAGAGGCTTTAAGATTTTATTCCATATACTACGTAATCTAAGTACAATTTGGATTTGTTCAGTGGGTGTGCATGTTATGCATATTGAAATGTTAAGGTAATATAATTTTTACAACAATATGTACCTGCGTGTTATGTAAAGATTTATATAACTTTTAAATGCGTAACACTTCCAAGTTAACATGAAAAACTTCCACACTTACTTTCCCCTAGCTTATGTACTCAGTGCTATTTCCCTAAAAACATAGTTATAAGCCAACAAATATTAAAGATACTAACATAGGCATTTTCTTAAAAACTTTACATCAACTCTTGCCCTGGCCGGTGTGGCTCAGTTGGTTGAATGTTGACCCATGCACCAAATGGTCACCGGTTTGGTTCCCGTCAGGGCACATGCCAGGGCTAAGGGCTTGATCCCCAGTAGGTTGCATACAAGAGGCAGCCAGTAAATGTTTCTCACATGGATGTTTCTCTCTTTTCCTCTCTCTCTAACATCAATAAAAACATAATTTAAAACACACACACACACACAACTATATCAACTCTAAAGTTATTTATTAACCTAAATGTGTAAGACATCTCATTTCCTTCACAGTCATAAATGTCTCCACAGAGCATGTTTCTGTGCACAATACTGTAGGTTACGGCAAAATATTAAACACTTAGTAAAATAAATAAAAATAGCTACACAACACAAAAGTTACACAAAAGGTTACCTTAAAATAGAAATTTCTTAAATACTCCCCAAAAGTTTAGATACTCTACAACTCAAAAACTACCAAATTTCCAAAGTAAAAAGGTTAAAGACGTGAAATTTGATTTTTGAAATATTATACCATTCAATTAACTGAACAAGTTTCATATTGTATCAAAACCTGGTTACAGGTATTTTTCATTAAGTCTATTAAAAGATAATACAGCCCAACTGGTGTGCCGCACTGGTTAAGCGTCGACCCATGAACCAAGAGGTAGGTAGGTCACTGGTTCGATTCCAGGTCAGGGCACGTGCCCAAGTTGCAGCTTGATCCCCACTAAGGGGTGTGTAGGAGGCAGCCAATTGATGTTTCTCTCTTTTCAATGTTTCCATCTTTCTATCCCTCTCCCTTCCTCTCTAAAAAAAATATAAAAACATATTTAATAAACAAACAAAAGATACTGCCTATTTTAGCTTTCAAATAAACAAAATGAAAAAATTCTCCCTAGGCATATATTTTTAAATATACTTATAGCTTTTAATTTCATAAATCTAAGAGATTTCATCATTAAAATGTTGATTCCAAACTTCAGTTTGTTACTGACATGTAGATACCACAAATAGCATATACCGTTGCCCAAAGAATTACAAATAAGTTATAGAAGCCTTTGCTTCCAATCCCTACCTCCCATGTTTATTGCTCCACGGGGACCCATATCACCCATTCTCATTTCCTGTTCTCTCTGTAAGTAAACATAGTTATCACAGTCAACCTATCGATCTTATCACATTTCCCATCTAAATCAAAAAGAAAAGAATAAATTGGGACAGCACTTTCCATTAAAGAATGTTAATTTTCCAACACCTCTTACTTAATAAGAGCACTGAAAAGAAACTTCAGTCTCCCAGGCTTAACATACTACAATGTTTAAAGCACCCAGTTTATAATGCTAGATTATAAATAAGTCAGATTACATGAAATTTAGCAGAGAATATTTTTAATGTTTTTATTCCATAGATCAAAGACACATGCCTAGATTTTTTTTTAAATCTCGTAATAATAACCCCCAGGGCCAATTATTTTTTCCTCCCAGATCACTAAAGTCTTCAAACAGAAATGGCTGTTACCACTTTTATATTCAAACACATTCATACATACAATACAAACAGCTGTGGGACACTAAGCTAAAAACAGTTATAGATTATTTTCACTTCTGAAATACTGGGATTCATCCTTGCCTTTTTATTCAAGTATTCAAGCATTATTTTACCCAAGACCAATATAATACAGGGTTACCATAAAAGTCTCCACAAAACACAAGCAATTATTGAATACTCAATGTAACACTCCCTTCCTTCATTAGAACAGTGTTTTTACTGGGAAACCTAAATAAAAGTGGTATTGCACAGTTGGCAAGTTATGAAACAAAATGCTCTTGAGGTGAACACAAAAGGTCATATAAATGTATAAAATATGTAAAACATACATTTGGCGAAATAACTCAACATATAATTGCAATTTGCACTATTATTTGATCATCTTTTCCAATATTAGACAAATGTGTTAAATGTAGTGATCCTAAAAAACATGCTCAGACAAAAGTAACAATGTCTGAATCTAAAGAAAGCATAATTTTTCTACTTTTAAAATTAATTTTAGCCCTGTGCATCAACCTATGAACCAGGAGATCATAGTTCTATTCCCAGTCAGGATATATGCCCAGGTTGTGGGCTCGATCCCCAGTACAGGGCATGCAGGAGGCTGCCGATCAATGTGTCTCTCACATCAATGTTTCTATCTTTCCCTCTCTCTTCCACTCTCCCTAAAAATCAATGGAAATATATCCTTGGGTGAGGATTAAAAACAGGGGTTCAATTTGTATTTTTACTTTTATATTTGACTTAACTACGAAGATTAGAAATGCACTTTAGAGAAGGTAATTATTATAGTCTCACTGCTTGAAGCTTCAATTTTCAAATCCCCCTTATATACCCTAACACCCTAATTCGATGCCTATGATTCACTGGTGGGGTTAAGGTGTAGAGACTACCATTTCTATTATCTTTTTGTAACTTCAGCTTTACCTATAGCTATCACTTTCTGAAATAACATGTTTAGCTTTATTATTCACAAAGTACTTTTAAAAAAATATTCTTAAATTGTTCTATTATTCCATTTTCTTAGTTAACACAATTTTGTGAAAATCATATTAACAGTGAAGAGATCTATGGTTTTAAGTCAATTATGCAACAGTGGAATTAACATTCCCTTCCTGATGCTCCAATTCTAAAATATATTTCTATAAATAATATAATAAAAACCTTACAATAATCCATGTTAACGTAGCAATATCACTGGTAAAATACCAATTTATATTGTATAGTATAGCATGTTTCACTAAACACACATACATTCAATTTATTAGTGTTGAGATTTCCTTAAAGAGTATAATTTAGTGTTTTTATATAGCTTCACTCATAACTTTAAAAAAGATAGTATGGCCTTAACTGGTTTGGCTCAGTGGATAGAGTGTCAGCCTGCGGACTCAAGGGTCCCAGGTTCAATTCCGGTCAAGGGCATGTACCTTGGTTGCGAGCACATCCCCAGTAGGGAGTGTGCAGGAGGCAGCTGATCGATGTGATGTTTCTAACTCTCTATCCCTCTCCCTTAAAAAATAAATAAATAAAAATAAATAAATAAATAAATAAATAAATAAATGAGACAGTATAATTAGATGACAGATCATTTTTTAAACTATTTTAGAATGAGCAGTTTTCAGGTTCCTAGTAATGTCGTAAGGTTACTGTTTCTTTCTATAAATCCACTGCTATATACTTGTAGTAAAATGAAAGAGGCAGAGATGTAATCAAAGGAAATTAAGACAGTAAATCTCATTATAACTTAATATATCAATAAGGAGAATCACTTGAATTAGTTCACTATAACTGTGTATCCACTCAAGAAGCAATACATATAGAAGCAATTCACTTCTATAAATTATTCTTATATATTTCAAATTAGAACTGGCTCACAGTATGTGTGACATTTTTATAATATAAATTTTAATAATGCTTCATTACTTTAGCATAAATTAAGAGTTGTGGTTTAACAGGAGACAACCAATATGTAAAGAAAACCTCAAACGACTACTACAGTGCAATAAAGCTATGAAAATTGTTTTTAATTAATTCAATTAAACTCATAGCAACCCTGTAAGTACGTTTATTGTTATCCTATTTTAGAGATCTTTAAAACTGAGGCACAGAACCTTTAAATAACTTATCAAGATCATACATACATATAGTAAGTGGTTGAGCTGACCTATAAAATTTTGCCAAAACAGAGTTCATGAAATTTTTCACTTTCATAAGACACCTTCATTTTTAAAGAATTCCAACAAAAACTAACAAAAGACACAATTTTCTTAGTTTATTCTTACAATGTTTATAAGAAGGTATGCTGTCTATTAAGAGTTATGCATAGGTATCCCTGAAAGCTTGTCACTGAAGAAAGCTTAAATTAACATATTACCAACAAATCAAGCAAAGTATGACTGATTTTCAGAAGTATATATCAAAGCAACATTTCATTCAAATAGCAATTCTTGAAGTACTCAGAGTCCCCACACCATTTCATGAAGTGCACAGATTCAAAACTGTTTCATGACTTATTAACACTAGAACATAGTTATAATGTTATGATCTATTCGGGCTTTTCACTCTATCGACATTTGTGGATAGTGCAAAAGCAATTGTGGGCAAAAATCCAGTTTTTCTGAGCAAAAATCGAAGCATTTGTATTCAATTTTTACTAGAAATCATTGTATTCTTCACATGCATACAATAGCAGCTTAAATTTTTAATTATGATACCTGGATGAAGCAATAAAAATTGTTGTTTATTAAATCACTATCCTTGGATACATATCTTTTTAATATTCTATCCAACAACACAGGATATATACATTAAAGCATGTCTGCTGCATTATGAAGTATGGTGATTGTTTCAAGAAAAACAATTACTGTGATTGAGTTAGAAGCTGAATGAAACCCTTTTGGCTTGTAACAAGAATTTTTCCTGAGACAGCATTAGACAGGCAAATTTTTGCAGACATTTTAAGATGACATCAGTTTTTGTATTAAGATGTGGTTTTTAATTTTGTATAATAAAATACATTAAAATCTGAAATATTTGTGTAACTTGATAAACCAGTATTTTTCCAATGTTGGGTACATGACATTACAAAACGTGCCTGGGTAAGAGAGCCATTCAAAGTTCAAAGTAGACCAATATGATTGTAATGGAAATTAATGCCTATCAAGTTTTACTATACTATCAAACAAGCATATCCACAATTACCAGAAAAGGTTAAAACACATCTCCAGTGTGAAGTCAGATATTTTTCATGTACTTTAACCAAGAGCATTTTGCAATCGATGGAATGCAGAAGAAAATATGGGGAGCCAGCCATTTTCCATAAAGGCAAACATTAAATAAATTACAACACAGTAAAACAATACCGCTCTTCCTACTACATTACAGTTGAGCATTAAAGAAGTTTGAAGAAAAAAAAAAAATATATATATATATATATATAAAATAAGGCCATTCTCCCCACTAAAACCCTTCCCTCCCCTCCCCTGCCCCCCACACAAATTTCTCCTTCTAAATTTCTAATATGGTAAACACTGATATAACCTAAACAACAGCTCTTTGGGGTCCTAATTTTTAATAGTCTATAAATAGGATTTCAAAACCAAAAACTTTGAAAACCATAAAAATAGCAGAAAATTTGCACTAATGTAAATTAATTAAAGCAATATACCCTAAAAGTGCAGCATCTGACGTTATTTTGTGTAATATAAGGTTTTCCTTTAATACTAAAAATATCAATCTGTGGTTTTAAACATATTATATTTATTTTTCTAGGTAACCTAACTTAAAGGTTTTACATGGTACAAAAATAAAGCTAAAATTATGTATAACCCTTGACGGTGTGCACAGTGGTTGGAGCATTGGCAGTTCGATTCCAGGTCAAGGGCACGTGCCTGTGTTGTGGGTTTGCAACCTGTCCCCTGGTTGGGGCATGTGCATGTACAGGAGGCAACCAGTCGAATACTAGTCAGGGCATATACCCAGGTTGGGGACTCTCTCACATTGAGATTTCTTTCTCTCTCTCTCTTTCTCTCTCTCTCTCTCTCTCTCTCTCTCTCTCTCTCTCTCTCTCTCTCTCTCCCTCTTTCCCTCCCTCCCTCCCTCCATTCCTCTCTCTAAAAAACCAATAATAAGGAAAAGGAACTGTAAAACAAGAGTGAATATTTTTTTTAAAAGTTTATCTAACACAGTGATCAACCTAAATTCTTATTTGGATTCAATAAGCCACAATCATTTCTCTACTTTAATTTATAAAGACATCTCTATATGTCCCTAAAAAGATTCTATGGATTGTCTAGGGATCATCATGAGCCATTTAGATTCCATGTCTTTTTTTAAAAAGATATATTTTTATTGATTTCAGAGAGGAAGGGAGAGAGATAGAAACATCATTGATGAGAGAGAATCATGGATCAGCTGCCTCCTGCACGTCCCCCAGTAGGGATCGAGACCACGACCCAGGCATGTGCCTCTGACCGGAATCAAATCCAGGATCCTTCGGTCCACAGGCCAACGCTCTATCCACTGAGCCAAACCAGCCAGGGCTAGATTCCCTGTCTTAATAAGGAAAATGCTAAAAATCCTGTTA